AAAAAAAAAAAAAAAAAAATACTATTATCCACATTTTAGAGAAGGAAACTGAGCCTGAGAGATTTAAAGCTTGCTCAAAGATCCACAGTAAAATCTGCAGACAGGACTTGGACTGAAGTCTGCTTGCTGCCAAAGCCCGTGGTCCTTCCACCGTGTCAGGTTTAACTGCTCCTTTACGGCTACAGCCCATTTTGAATAGTAATAGTATGTCTACCCTATTGAATATCCCAGCTGCCCTTTATCCTAATGCCACATTTATAAGTGTGGCAAAAAAAAAAATTCATTTAAAATTTTTGTATTGAGTAAAAAATTACATACAGAAAATTACACAAATCTTAGTTCATAGCTCAAGGAATTTTTACATGTGAATATACCTGGGTATCATCACTCAGATTAAGATACAGAAGATTTCCCATCCCCCAGAACTCCCCCTGGTGTTCCTTCTCAATTAACCCACCCACACTCCTGCAACCCACACTATTCTGACTTTCTTCAGCGTAGATTAGTTTTGCTCGTTCTTTGACTTCGTATAAATGAAATCATACACTATGTACTCTTTAGTATATGGCTTCTTTCCCTAAAGAAAGATGCCATTTAAAAATGTCTTTCCAAATCTATTTTCAGTGGAGGGTTTGCAGTTCTTTTTACCATGATGAAGCTCCGTTTTGTCCCTCTCTTAGACTGGGTATTTCACTCTTCTTGCACACTACAGAGTTTATATCCTCCCGGGGACTCTCTTCTTTCTACCACCTCCTACGGATGAAATCCTTCCCCTACCGCTGCTGAACTGACATCCCCCAGCTGGAGAGAGCAGGCAATACCACTGACAGCAGGGGAGAGGCAAGGCTGTAAAACCTTGCATGTCAGCATGGTTATAAAGGAAAACCCTTGCTTGGCCAGGACGATAATATTTTGACTTCATGTGGTATTATTGTCTGAATTGGTTGGAACACTTCAACCATGGAAACAGTCCTCCCTTTCCTTGCCCAGAGTGAAGAGCCATTCAAGAATGCTGATTTCATATATTTCCTTGCCAGTTTAATAATCTCAGGGGTGAGGGTAGACAGATCAAACTTGGATGAGAAAGAGTGAGTTGGTGTTGTGGGTGGTACCTAGACAACGTGACCGGCCCTGTGCTGCAAACCACCCAATAATATAGTTATATAGTACATATATATATAGTAATACATAATGTATATAATATTATATATTATGTCATTATTTTTATAATAACAAATATTAATTATGTATGTTATATTATAATGTAATATATATAATATTACATATAGTAATACAGTTATATAGGGAGGGGGAATGTTGGAAGGTAGCAAGGGAAGCAGCAGAGTTCACATTGGTGCAGTGGACCTCAGAGAAGGCACTATAAAAGCAAGAGTGAGGAGAGGCTGGGAGAGAGTCCTGATTCCCTAGGAAATACAGTTTCCTTTCTATAGGGGTTCCTATACCCCCTCAACCTCACGGTTCTCCTTCTCCCAGTTTCTTCTCCCTTATATGGGGGATGGCCTCGTAAGACCATCTCTCCATATGCCTCTCACAGCTTCTGCATGTCACTGGATCAGATAACACGCTTCAGGTCCCACCCTCAGACTTCAAACTAAGCATTTGATTGGTCAGTTCCTCAAGGCCCAACAGCAAAGGCTGTCCCATTGGCTCCATGTCCATGCCTGTCTATCCCTGCTTAAGGAAGGAATCTTGAGATCCCCTCGTAGGGAGCTTGGCACTTGAGTGCCATGGGCTGGTTCTGGCCATTTTATTCCAAAAGGGACTGTGGCTGTGGCAGGAATTCGGAGTGTCCTGGGCTCCTCCCAGCTCCAGGACATTTAGTTTCCACATAGGGCCCTAGAAGGGGACTAGAGCCTATAGCCAGGGCAGGATTTTGACCTCTAGGCAGTGCTACCACAGCTGCCTCTGCATTTCTTCGCGTTTGGTGATGTTGAGGAGTAACCGCTGACCCTTTTAAAATCATTAATGAAAAAAGTGGTTTATTCGCAATGGTCCAACTCCTTCACATAAAGTGTATGAATCAAGAGCCAAGAGACACTTTGAAGTCATGAAGTGAGTGGGTTTGCATTTCAAAGAAGGATGGCATTGGATACTAGACCAATGCACACAGGCAGGCCCTCACCAAGACAAAGAATCTGAGACTTTGTGGATAGTCCAATCCAAGTGCCTTTCACATTAAACATTCTACTCACTGACTATCAGCTCCTTCTATTTTCTTCATCCCAGTGGAATAAGGGAGGTTAAACTATCTGATTTTACAGGCAGGAAACTGCATATTAATAACCATGAGGTGACTTGCCCAATGCCACCCAGCAAGCAAGTCACTGGCAAAAGCAAGAATAGAATTCAGAGTTTTCAAATCATAATATAACACCTCGACCATTAGACCAATGGTTTCCAAATGACATTTGTAGATTAGCCCCATCAGAATCATGCAGGAGCTATGCAAAAACCTAGATTGCCTACATCTCCTGGGACTGGCCTAGCACTCTGTATTTTTAAACTTGCCAGAAGTTTTAATATGTAGCCAGGTTGGCAAACTACTGAAATCTATGCTACTTTCCTATGCTAGTAAAAATAAGCCATAGATGTAGAAATCAGAGGGCAAAATCACCCACCTCACAACCCTGGCCAAAAGACTGGACGCTCAGCAAAGACCAAACAGGACAGCTACAGCCAGACAATGCACTCTGCAAGTGGTATCACGAGGAGTTGGGGGTGGGGGAAGGTTTGTATTTATGTTCCCTCTAACTACTCCAGACAAATCACCACAACTTCCAAATTAGAAGATGCTTTTTCCAATTTCCAGAACTTGTGGTATCCACCTAGTGCTGAAAATCCAGCTGCACTCTTTCTGTTTCTTATATCATTGCCAGAAATAAAGATCCTGCAATCAAAACTTGGCTGAAAGTTTGATTGATGTTGCTTGAGGCGCACCATGAGTCTACCCCATCCTTCCATCACCACTGCAGAGTTTTCAAAAGTAATATTTATTTTC